TTTTAGCATAATAACGAAAACCTTCATATTAGTATTAACTAAAGATAACAATAGCCTGCCTTTTTTTTCTTCTTGAAAACACATCGCTGGCACGCGCGCCATAATCAGACTAAAACTCCTTGGAGCCACCTTCATCAAGTAACTACCCGATACTTCTAAATACTACTTCAATTCAATCATACTTCTCTATTCAATCAGTCTTTTAGGTTGTCGCACAAGATAGTAGACTGAAATACATCAAATTATTCCATTTAACTAAGACTGAAGATGAACCTCTGAGCCCCAACGTGCACTGAATCAGTTTTGGAGAGGCAACTGTTTTTATTTGGTTTTTGGCCACAATAACAAACTACTATAGGCTGCATCTATGTTCGAATTCCTTACTAAATATTAAATGGTTTTAGAGAATAAAAAGAAAATTTGCGTAAAGGTGACAGATTCGATAGCCTACGCATGCTTAGATATCGATCTTGGCAAAGTTCTATTCCATTACGTAATGTTTTGCGACAAAGATCTTTCGAGTAAGAGTTATCGCGTTTTCCTAAGAATTGCTGGACTTCTATACATATTTTTATCCTTCCTAGTGCCTGTTGACGAAAAAGTTCACAAGACCACATTTGAAATAGAGGAAGAAGACACAAAATTGCGAATAGCGAGGAAACTGCCTTTGGAACCGCTATTTTTTTCGGCTTTTAAATGATCGGCAGGGAAGTTTTCATAAATTGTGAAAAATTGTAAAAATTTTGAGAGATTTCACCGAAGTGAATCGTAGAAAATCAAAGGCAAAGCCAAATCATCGCTGGCGAGCGGCCCCCTTCGTAGAGCCTTAGCTTGATAACGTAAATCATTTTGGTAATATTTACAACAGCAAACGATAGTTCGAACCTTGCTCCTTGCCTTTTCATAGCTTTTAGTAACCTTGAAATGCGAAAACATAAAAATGTTTTAGAAAAACATTGCGCTGACGCGCGCCAACATTGAACAAAAACCCCATGGAGTCTCCTTAAATTGGTTTTGGCCTCAATAACTGAGATATTAGAAGTTGACTTTCGAGAATTTCTTTGAATTCTGTAAATCTCATCAGCTAATGATTAAATGTAATAAAATTAAATGTAATAAATATTTACGAACAAAGCATCTTATTCTTGAGCATGCTTTTCTTTAGTTTTAGCTACAAAGGCTTAACACCTGACGTCTGAACTTGAAAGGCTGGACACTTGAAAATTGAACTTCAAAGGTTTTATTGGACGAGGTAAATGGTTGTAATTTTGTCCAAAACCCATCAAACTTACGGGGGTTTAAAATAGAACACGAAAAAAAAATTGAAATATAGCAGTTATTACAGAATAAGAAAGTTAGACTCAAGGTTTTTACGGAAATAAAGTACCCAATATCTAATTTTGAAAAGAAATCGTGGGAGCATCAAACATTTTAGAGATCTTATATCAATCCTTAACAAATCTTTAAGAAGCAACGACTTTGAAATACGCTGAATTTGGTTTTAACTGCAAGAGCTTTACAATTACTGGGATTTTTTTTTTAGACTCTAGTATTTAATCATCAACAAAAGCAACAAGGGAGTATTGACTACTTTACCTAACGACTAAAAATCACCTCGATCAAAGAGAAACTCACCGGAAATAAAACATTAAAGAAAACTAACTCATTTCTTTGTTTGTAGTTTTCCTCAATTTTTTTACTCTGGGTAGATTTTAATTGCAGACATTTCGATAAACCCAGGATGAAACGTTAATTACAGACCAGCAGACCAGACTTGAATGCGCTGATAGCTAATTCGTCAAAACAATCAAACGAGCAAGTAACTCACGTTTTAGTAAGTTGCCTTGTCTTCCTTTCCTCCCTTGAATTCAATTCGATTTAGCCTTGATTTGGTGACAGCCTCATTCCGTGCCTAACGCTGTCCTGATGAGAGAAATTTATGTTTTAGAAACCTGCATACCTATTTTAAGGTAATAACTTTTTTTAATGTTATTGATGAGGATCAATGTCGAGACCATTAAAGCCATCAGATTTGCGATTGACAATTTTCATGTCCCTAATTGAACAAAGTCAACATGAAATTTCATTTCCATCTCTTGGTAAATGCTCTGTGGCATAAAACAAGGATCGCTAAGCTCAATTTGACTCCTGGCACCCAACTTAAAAAAAAAACAAGGGTTAGCACAACCAAGATCCAGAGTCAAAAATTATAGACAGCTCGACTCTCTTTTCTTTGACGGGTTTTGGAAGCAGGGGTAATTTCAGGTGCGTTAGAACAAATCTGACGTTAAATATACTGATGTGAAGGAAACTGTATACAGCATAAATATAAGTGAAGAGGTAAAAAAAAATGTAAGATATTGAGCGATCAAACAATTAAACGACAGGTCCTAACAAGAACTGTCATGGCGGCTACTTCTGAAGATTTGACTTAAACTGAACTGAACATGCTCTTCCTTTTTACATTTAACCCTTAGATATTAATTTTACCAGTGCAACAAAAGGAAACACGAACGCTATATTTCTATCCAAAAAGTACTGGTACAAAAGTTATTCACCTTGAGAAAAGTTGTGACAAAAGGACATTCATCCATCCTTCTTCGTCGTCGAATTCAAACCACTCGCTTCAGCAGACTCGAAGAAACACTCTCATCGACGCCTTGGCAGAATGGACGATATGCAAGGTATTTGGGTTGAAATGACGCATTTCCCGGCCACAGAGAAGCTAAAAGAGACACTGACATTTCTTTAACTTCGTAAGAGTCTTTCCACGTGCAAGAATAATCTCAAATATGAATATTGATGTTTCAAAATTATTTGTGATTCAAATCAGTTTTCCGACGGATAGCCATCGGAGGGCCCTTCGTTAACTTTCGTTAAATTTTAAAAAGACACAGGATAACTAGCAATAGGATGATTTTCATCTCGATTCAGCTGAGTTCAACAAAGAGGAATTGAAGGAATACTTTATCGAACTCTGTTGAACTTGAACTTACCAAAAAAAATCAATCATTTACAACCTGATTACTTGAACTATCTGTAATGTCTATCTGTCTTTCGTTTCTCTTGGTGTTTCGATTAAAAGGTATTATACAGTATTTCAATCTTCAATTTGTCGAAGAAATACGTTAAAGATAAAGGAAAACTGAGCTGTATTTTGCAACTTGAGAAAATAAAACTTCACAAAATCTGCATGGGATTTGGATAAAAACGGACTAATGACGTAAAAACATGGCTCGATACGAGCCTGAAGTGAGTTAGCCCCCCTAAACACCCCCCACCCCCCACCCTCAATGCGCCCATATCCGTATTCAAGTCTCCTTAGTACAAATCAAATCATTTATTTCGAAGCTACGTACCTATTGTGGCCATAAAACGCCGCGAAAATGTTCCAGTCTTTTTCTTCCATTCTTGATCAAACGATCTTATATAAAGAACAAATGAATAAATGGGGAAGCGGATTTAGTATTGAAGATGATAAGCGTTCTAATATAAGGGGGTAAGTTTCTAAAGAAACTGGTGCTGCGTCGGTGGAAGAGTATAACAAGGTAATTTGGTTTATCAACTGAGTTGATATTACGTAAATTGGCCACCGTAAAGAGTTTGAAAATTGACCTTTCGAACGTTAACCCTTCGTTAGAGTGAAAAAGGGCTAACGCTTGAAACTTTAGCTTGAGAAAACCCAATTAACTTGTTATACTAACCCTTTCACTCCCACAAGTGACCAAGACAGAATTTCTCCTTACAATATCAATACAATATCAAGCAGGTAGGTGATGAGAATAAAGAAAAATACCAATTATGGGATTTTTAGTTGATCCAAAACTAAATTCTCTGAACTAACGCCATAAGAGCTATATGGCAGACAATAAAGAGAATTACTAATGAGATCTTGGGGGTGAAAGGGTTGACAACATTCAGTCGGAGTTCATCGTCTGAAGGAAAGTCTTCATCGACACTCTTTTCCCATAGGAATAAACTGAGCTGCATTGCCTTGCCAGATAAAAAGAAGAATTTAAATACGCAAGCAGACCTCCAAGACGACGGACGCAGTTCCTTACAACAGCATCAATATTTGCCAAGTCTCGTGGAAGAGAATCGTAATGTTTCTTCCATTTTTTCTATTTTGTAAACTCTTTTCGTCTTTCAATAACTCTCGGTTACACATCTCAAACCGTCTACTGACTTCGATCAAACTTTTTCATTTTTTGAGGGATGTCCTCCACGAGGGGCTCGCCACAATCCGGTCTCTGCATGAAGAGGAGGTCCAGTGATGACTGCTCAACCGTGACTTTTGGTAAGATCTCCGTAAAACCACATACTTGCTTATGCTCTCTGTTCTCTGAAAAGAGAAAAGAGAATGGGAATAACAATAGATTGCCTTTCGATATACGACTTTGTTCTTAGAATATAAGTAAAAAACGTCATGCTGATGGACGGGTGAACCACAAATTTTGCATTTGTCAAGTATTCATATCTCCAGTTTATTTTTTGTTGCTCCTGTCATATTCATAACAATTGGCTGCTACATGCTTGGTCTCTTTCTAAAGATAGCAAACTTTTTGCTTTGGTTTGGAAAGATCAAATGGATATGGAAATCCTCAAGGACAAGTAACACTTTGACTCTAGACTAGTGTTTTGAAGAATCTTGTAAGAATCTTTACAAAAGTTTTAAGTTTGTCTAAGAGTTTGGTAAGAATCATAATTTTAAGATCAGTAAAAATTTAAAATGTTCTTGACAAGATTTCATCAAGTTTATCCCCAGTACATTCCTGAGTAACTTGGAATGCATATTCTGTTCTTTACACAACAGAGCATGATGCATATGGCTTAAAACCTGGCACATGTAATATCAAAAATCCTACCTCCAAAAGGGGGTCATAAGGTCAAGTAAGCTTCTATAGTGCACAAATTTAAGACCTGATAACACAATACTAACACAGTTGCTTGCTAAAGGTAATTTTTCCACTGGAATAATGGTATTAACAGATTAAATTTGGACAGACATTTCACATTACATTTGATGATTGAGTATGAAATACACTGAACAGCTAGTTTAAAATAATTACTAATCGTAATCATAAGGAGTGTCTTGAAAGGTGATGAAACCTTTCCCATCCTTGCCTTGAACATAAAGATACCTACTGATAATGTTACCACATTTTACAAGCAAGAGACTTTTGCTTTCATGATCCTGGAGAAAATTTTGTCCAATTAAGTTGGGATAAACAATTTCCTTCAGGACTACATCCTGTGGTGTAAGAAAGTCTTGGCAAAAATTCAATCAAGTCAAGCCATACTCCATGACCAATGCATAGGCATCATTCTGGTAGGTGATGTAGCAAATCACTCAACCGAAAAAAGCATTAAGGATTCGGGTTGATAAAACTGAAAGGAAAACTTACCTTTCACAGCATATAGAACACTGACAAAATCACACAACTGTATTTTCAGGTGGTTGAGTGTTTATTAGAGTCATGAAATAACTATGTGTGAAATCACTTGTGTTTTGAATAAATTAGCTAAGAGCCTAGTGATAACAGTGTGCCTTAAGAGTCAGCTAGTGAATATAGCTACCATACCATTCAGTTTTTCAATTAAAATACAAAAAAAGAAAAAACATCAAATGACAACAACAATCAGTAAAGAACATCATTATGAAATCATACATGTGAACTGCAGATAAAGAAGTGAATAATTAAAAGCAATCTCCACAGTAATGAATACTACTCAAGCAGTAGTGAAAACAAGATCTGAAAAAAATTCAGGCCTGTGTGCAATTACTGCTTGCTTATGTATCAACCAAAAAATGTGAATAAAATGCACCAAAAATTGCATGCAATTGCAAATTTTAAAAATTGTGTGCATCAAAAAATCGCACTTGCATGTGTATGCTTGAAACATCTGCCTCTCTAGTATGTATGAGATAGTCCTTTTGTTTTCTATTTTTGGCAGTTTATCATTTTAAACCTTTAATCCCTGAGAGTGATCAGCATCTAATTTTTCATTTTAATATCACCCATGAATCAAACATCAAAATCATGAGCATAAAGGAAATGACAATTAACTGAAGAACCCCTCAATTGTTACACCAATTCTCCTTATAAGCACATTAGGAAATGTAGAGAGAACAGTATGGAGAATATTCATACTGATGTTAGGGTGTAAAGGCTACAATGTAATAGCACTAAAATACTACACAACTACCAACAACAAGCAAACTTGTTCGTTTCAATCACTGTTTTAACTGACCTTCCCAATATGCTGTTACCAATGTGACTTAGTAATCAAAATATATAAATGATTTATCATTTTCCAGTGGAATTTTTTAATAAAAATAGCTATTTCTCACTTTGTACAATAAAACATTCATCACAATGGGATGGGAATTTGTTCAAAATATATTTATCTTCAGTGTGTTTATAACTTGGTAGAATTAGCTAAATCGCCCATTTGTAACCAGTTGTCACCTTCTGGATGCAAATTAAACCCAAGCACGAATGCCTATTTTATAGCTTTTATCATCGGTGAACATGCTGTTCTTGAAAACTGGTTCATTCATATCCACATTTATATAAAAACTGATAAGTTTTACTTGCTCACTACTAGGTTTTGTTCTGACTCGTATGCAAATTTTTCATTGGAAAAAGGATTTGCTTCTTGTTTCAATATTTGTCAAATCATTGATTGATGTTCACCAAATTGCTCGAAAAAAGGAGTCTGTTTTTAAAGATCTTGACATTATTCAGTTGACATGGATAGAAATGGATAACTAGCTAAAATGGGTTCTTTTTAAGGTATTTCATGTACGTAGTTTTATATAACTACGAATTTTTACTTTTTGTAAAAGAATAGACACGAGATCGAGCAAAGCTTCCTTGGAAATATTTGAATTCCCGCATTGACTTAGGCTTTGATTAGCTTGATAAGGCACTTAATTATGATCGAATAATTTAAACAGTGTGCTGCACAGTAAAATGAACTGTGAGGTAATATGTAATTTGAGGTTCACTTAACCTATCATTAGCTGTTTACTACATGTACCTGTGCCATTCAGGATGTGAGTTCGAATGAACTCTTTCAAGTCCTTGTCTGGTTGTACATTCCTGTGACCATTCCTTCATACATATATGACCAGACCGAAGAAACACATAATTTCCAACTAAAGAGAAGCTTAAGGAGCGTTCTCTTTTAAGTTTTGAAGTCATAATAAAAGTGAGTAATTTTCCAGCACTCTTCTCCAAACATGCCGCCATGTTGGATTTCCCTTGTTTGAACCCAGTCTATTATCCCCGCACGGTTTACAGAGCCTGAGGGAGCCGTCGAAAAACGGACACAAGTGTTGGAAATCGGATGGACACGTGTGAGAACGGACGTTAAAGTCCGAAGTCGATCAGAACCGACTTTAAAACAGACCTCAGAGGTCGAGGTCGGACGGAATCGCCCAAAAATGAACGCAAGTGTCCTAAATCTAACACGGGAACCGTCAAAAAGCCGACTCAGGTGTCTGAAACAAGCGGACAAAGCCTTTGTATCAAAAAGACCTGCGTGGGCCACCATTTCTATTTCTTAGAGATAGAAACGTAAAAACGCATTGTTGTTTTTCTTCCATTTTTCTATGAAAAATAAAAAAAAGGAATACTAAAATTCAAATTCGTTTTTTTTAGAACTAGAGAACAAAAGGTATGGACAGCAGCAAATTTGTAACGAATTTAAGAAAATAAAAGACACTTTTTAAAAACATGTTTCGATAGTTTTTTTAGTTTGTAGCAAGAGAGTTTGTAGTTACTCCTTGCGCGCGAGTAATAACTTGCCTCCAACAAAAACCTCATCAGTAAAACAAGTGTCTTAGGAAACTCGATAAGCGATCACGATCTCATTGTTGCATCATTGAATCTCAAGAAACCTCGCCCAAAGCCTACGTATATATCCCCTAGAAGCTTCAAAAACTTTAAAAAAGATGCATTTTTGGCTGACATATCAAGTGCCCCTTGGTCTATATTCGACATATTCGAAGATAACGAAGGCAAACTCGACACCTTTAATTCATTATTTCATCAAATACTTGATCAACGTGGACCCGTCAAAATTATTAGACAAAGAGCGAGACCAAATTAGTTTATTAATGACAACATTCGCAGCTTGATGAGGACAAGAGATTGCTGACAACGACTAGCTAGACAAACAAACGACCCGACTATTGGGTCAGGCTATCGGAATTTTTTAGACGTGAAGTCAAACGGGAAGTTCGACTCGCGTAAAGGGAATGTCTCCCGAGGAATGTCTTCGAAATTATTGGACTTTCTGAAATTATCCTTACTAGGAAACGACATTAACCCGGCTCAATCAGTCACAGACGTTAGAGTAATTTTTGACCCCACGCTATCTTTTGATAGTCATATTTCTACTGTAGTATCGTCTTGCATGTCGAAATCATCTCAAATAAGCCGTATTAGATTCGTTTTCGATGAACAACTGCTTGAAACCATAATAAACGCGCTTGTTTTCAGTAAACTATATTACTGTTCATCAGTATGGTCATCCTCCTCAGTCTGTGATATTCGTAAATTGCATTACGTTCAAAACTTAGCCACGCGAATTAGATCTGCAACGTAAAGAAGTATGACTATATCTCCCCTGTATTAAGAAACTTACGTTGGCTCCCTGTAAAAACACAACTGTATCGCCGAGATGCTGCTTTAACATTTAAATGCATGACGGGTCAAGCCCCGGAATACTTTACATCTATGTATATAACAAGAGGCAGCGCGTATCTGGACGTATAACCAGAAACTTTCAACGACTAATCACTCCTCTTTTAAAAGTGCAACAAGACAGAAAACGTTTATTATAAAAGTGTATCTATCTGGAGCAAGTTAGATCCAAGCCTTAAATTATGTAAGAGTCCTGCTTCCTTTAGGAGAGCTCTAAAAAATGACCTTTTGAAAGAATTTTTAAACTGACATATTTTATTTAAAGATATATAATTCGTATTATATTGCCTGTATTTTAATTTTGTAATCCAATTTGTTCACTGAAAAGCCCCAGATGGGGATGTGTTCAATAAATGTATGTAAATGTTATAACAATAACGTTTAGCAAAGTGGCGAACCTTTTTTTTTCGTCACAACAAAGGGTCAGTGTAAGGTAATTTGAATAAAAGGTGGGCGTAGTTTCTGAGCCGGTCTCAGTTTCAGACACTACGCCCACCTTTTATTTCAAATGACCTTACAGTGGCCCTTTTTCTGTTGCCAACATTTGTCTGTTGTAATATCTTAGCTTATTCAATTGGCAATATTTTTGGCGGTGAAATTCTTGCTGAAACATCCGGATCAAGTCCGTAAACATGTAAACTGTTTTTTTTTAGCACGGGCCTTTTTCGGTAGTGAGTTTGTATTATTTACCTTTGTACCGAATGACCGCTTTGATGTGTTTTGAGTTTGGTTTTATACTATATACATAAACTTACAGTCTTTCTTTCTAAACCAAGGTAACTCGGCATTCAGTTAGATGAACAGGATTATCACATCTCATCGGTCTCCAAAACCTTTGTAATTCTTTGCGTATGTCTTTCTTCATGAGGGCATACACAACAAAATTCACCGCAGAATTAAGGTGCACTAACAACAAAGCTATAGCATCAACAAGACTACTAAGGTGGCACACATCAAAATTGGAGCAAAATGAAACACAGATATTAAGACTGTAACAAATTACAAACAATAAAATTACTAGTCCTAGAACTTCTGCTGATGCATTTCTTCTGGCCTTTTTAAGGCGTTGTGGAACACTTGAGGAGTGATTGAAAAGTACTTGATCTATTTGTGTAGTTGATTGTCTGAGTTTTTCTCGGCAGATGTAAAAGATACGCCCATAAACAGTCACTAACATCACGCACGAGAAAACACCGAATAAAAGATCAATTACCATGCGATAGTACCTATCGATCGTTTTGTCGACTCTACCATAGAGCCAAAACAAACGGACAAATGCGGCAAGAAAGGAGGTGAACCAAGACATAGCTATCATCGCTGAAGCTCGCTTGAATGTCATTAGTGACATGTAACGTAATGGATGTACAATTCCAACATATCTGTCTATAGCCATCGCCCACAAGTTTAGTGTGGAGGTGTAAAGCAGGAAGTTGTACACTCCAATTTGTAATCGCCAGTCGCACTGAAATCCAAACGTACAAAGGATTCCAGTGGACGTTGTTATCAAGCCAATGCAAAAGTCCGCAATTGCCAAGGACAGCACAAACCAGTTGTTTGTGACGCGTAGGCGCCGTTTTGAAACGATCAAGAAGATGACGATGCCATTACCCACAATTGCTAGAAAAGCGATGATAACCTTGATGGTCCAAT